GAGCTCTGGTTTGGTCTTGATCTCAAAAGAGGGTTTGGTATTAGCATAAATGCAGAAATATTTTCCTACAGGGTTTAAGGTAATTTTCCTTTGTTAAGAATTGTTCTAAATTAATAATTATGGGCTAAATGCTTCAGTCCTCACTCAGGCAAATCTCCTATTGAATTTCATTTAAAAATTGAATTGACTTTATGACTTGTCCCTATAGTTCTATTTGTATTTCCTATGGAACAGTTTCTGAACAGGTGTCAACATTCAGTGACCAAATGATACGTAGAGTTGAATAGAGTCAGTTGTAGCTTTTTAGATGGAACATGTTTTAGTTAGATATTGCTTTTCAAAATTGAAAACGTCTGGTTTTGAAAATGCAAAATGTTTTATTTTTTAAATTTCAATTTTTGAAAAATGGAATGGGAAGGGGTGGGGCAGAATCATGAAAAATAATTATAATCAAAAAAGAAAAAACAGTGAATTGCCAACCCTGCAAAATGAAAACAACTTCAACATTTTTCAGAAAATCGGGTTTTCCTTTTTTTGCCCTGGTTTAAAGTTGTAAGACAATCTGCTTGGGTAAAGCCCCTTCTTAGCAACATTGTTATTCTTTGTTGATGAGATCCTCATTGTACTCCCATACATTTATTTATGGAAACGACTTGGTATTTCAGCTCACTGCATTGCTGAACTGCAGGCCCATCAATGGCTTTTCAGTGTCACAAATGCTTTCTTGTTCAGATTTCAAAAATCACTTCAAGTATGTGGACTCCACTTTGAATCTCTCTATTGACGTGTGCTGTTACACTGAAAGTCACTGGGCAGCTGGCAAACAATTCAAGTGCTGTATCTGACCCTGATGTGTTTGTCAGGGGAAAGAGAATCAGATTGGAAATATTTTAGTATGTGTTTGTTTGTCTGTTCTCTTGCCATGTTGGACGCGGAGAGTGGGACTTGTAAAAGCGCTCGGCATCACTCTGTCCCTATTGAAATCAAAGGGACATTTCCCAAAGGGGGGAGAGAGAGCGATAGGGAAAATAAGGGAGTGAAAGGGAGGAAAATTGAAACAAAACAAAACTGAAAAATCAAACGAACCATTCATTTTGAATGAAAAAGTGAAAAAAAAATTGTTTTGACCCCATTTGATTGGAATGGAAACATGTTTTTAGCTGTGCCATCAAAAAAATCAGAAGGTTCAGTGAAAAAATTCACATGACATTTGTGTGAGACGTTTCACAGAAAATAATTCCCATTTTTCAGCTAGCCCTAGTCATCCCCTCTGAGGAGACATTCAAAGGCAGCGATGGTAGGTGCCATTATAGGAACCAGACAGACAGATTAGATGGGCATGCATGGGGGTAGATAGAACCTTTCATACCAGAGGTGTTTCCAAAGTTTTGAAAACAAAGTTTGATGCCCATAGTGAAGTGATTATATATTATTGCTCAATGTGAAAGCTATTATAGACTCAGCGACAATAGCTTGCCCAAACCCTTGAACAATGCAAGCTCTTTTTTTGAGAAAGAGAATGTTGTCCAGGGCACTGGGGTTATTCTTTACTCTCTTTTCCAAAAGGTGGCCAGGTGTTATCCGGGAACCACAGTTCCCTTGGGAGTTCCAAAGAAATTCCAAAGGAATGACAAATGAGATTCCCAAAGCTCCCAGACCCCCGAGATCTTTAATTTCCCACTGAACAGATTTCTAAAGGACAGATTTATTTCTTCAGATTCATTATTCAGACAAAGGGAAAAACTTCTAGCTATGCAGCCTGCCCCTAATACTGTACAGCATTGTCAAAGTTGGGTATCTTCTCGAGCCCACAATCTTCTAGCCACGCTGACACATACTCTAATATATTTATTGAACTTCACAATGAACGAAGCCATTTTAAGCTTAATTTGCACACCTCTGTGTATGCGTGTATTAGTAAGTAATAAGCATCCACCAAATATTCGCAACAACTCATAAAAAGAAAATGAAATTCAGGTAGAGGCCTCCCTATTTCAACCTCAGGTTCTAAGGGTTCGCTCATCGTTGATTCCAAAGGCAGTTGAGCAAATGTAATGTCCCAAAACACAAAGGGCCTGTTCTTTTCGTTGATTCAGATCCTGGCAGGAAACAGAGGACCTGCTTCAGTGCCCTCACTTGCATCAATACTTTTAATTCCTTTGTCCTAGCCTGTATGGCCAGACTTATAGTAGAGAAAGAAAAAAGAAAAAAAAGAAAGAAAGAATGACTCTGACCTTCAGAACACATGTCTGGTGTACTGAATGTAGCCATCTTTTATACTCTCTTGGGGTCCATCACTCAAGTTAGGATAGCGTTAGAATCCCAGTAATGTATGTCTCCAGCCTTGATCTCCCCTGCTTGGAAATAGTAAAGCTGTAACAAAATTTGGATTGTGCTAGTAGGCCAGAACTAAGTTGGTGTCCAGAAAAAAATAACCAGATAATACAACCCAGGAAAATGTCTCCGAGTACCCACACACTCTGAGTGCAATCAATAAAATACCATTTTATTAATAATACTAAATTAAAAGCACAGGTAAGTAAGGACTGGGTCCTGCAGTACAGTGATTTCCATAAGTGTTTTGTCTGCACTATGCCTCTATGGTTTCAACTTGGATTTGATCCCAGAAAGAAAGAGAGCTAGAAGATAGTATGGCCAGTATTACTCAGGTGGCTGTGCTTGTCTTTTCCCAGCCCTGGGAGGACGATTCATGGATATGGAGGGCTGAGGATGGAGATTGGGTAGGCTGGGTGAATCGAGGTTGTGGGAGAGTGGTTAGGGCAATACTGGGCATGGTGAGCGTGGGAGAATATTGTCCCTTACTCCAGCCCTGTGGAGAAACGCTGGGGAGGATGATAGCCGCAGGCAGTGCTATCTTTTCTAAGGCCCCCTCCCCAGAAGTCCCAGTGGCAGTTGTTGGCAGCAATCTGGGGGACACTGGGTCAAGACCTCTGCACAGATAGCCCTGACTTCCTGCATGGATCCCTGGAGCCTGCCAGCAGTGTTCATGGGCCCGCTGGTCTTTTCTGTGGGGTGCAGGGCATGCTCCATCTTCTGAATATGCAAAGTGGGGAAGTGCAGACATGTCCTCCTCTGAGACACCACTGGTAGCCCACTGATTGTACTATGACAATGGGTAATCTGGGCCTCTCCGGTGCGTGCAGTTTGTCTCCCCCTAGGAACTAGCAGTGTGGAAGTCGCATGTCTCCACAGTGGCTTCTAGGTGCCTTGGAATTGACCCATGCTGCCAGGCTTCCCTTGCTGGTGGATGCACCCAGAAATCCCCATCCAGGGGTATGCCAAGAGCAGAAGTGATTCTTCACAGCAGTTGGTGCTGTCCCAGAATGCATTGAGTTTTACTTGGATTTACCACTGGTATCCTCTGGGATTAACCAACGCATGGCCCTCTGTCCCTCTTTTCTCCTGAAGTTCCCTAACCCCATAACTGTCTGTGTTGGGAGAGATCCATGCAAAGACAGCAACCTCAACAAAGAAATCTTCAGGGGACAACTCCTCCTCTTTGTGGATTTGTCTCTTTTCCATCTCAATGCTGTATTCTTCTCAGGGTAACAGATTACTCATGTAAGTAAGGGTTCCAGGATTCAGTGTTTTAGAGAGTGGCTAGGAATTTAGCTCAAGCCTTTATTTCTGGAAGAGGAATGTTCATTTATGTATAACACATCATGTTGGATAACAAAAGGCAGAGAAAGCAAAAATGCATAATTAAAACAATTCTTTCTTCTTTCAAGCAAAGACCTAAAGGAGATTAAAGTGAAGTTGTTATGGAAAAGATGCAATACAGGTCAAGGACATTGCCATTTGAATTCTAGAATTCAACTCCTTTAAACAAAATATGGGTTTAATAATGCGATATCAAGCAAATCTGACCATTTTCTAATTGATTCTAAAATATTGTTTCTTTTTGCTTTGCACTGCATCAGACTTTTAAGTTAAAAAGCCCAGCATCCCTTTTAAAATAAATAGATTTGAATAATCTACTTTGAAATCAAACTTTGTTGCACTTAGAAATCACTTTAGATGATCTCAGGACACCAATTAACTCTCTCATCATTAGATTACAGAAGTGGCTAATTCCTGGAGGGCTGCTGCTTAAGAATATTAATAAATAAAAATCTTAAAGGTGTGTGTCTGAAGATTATTAAGGCCCTATTCTGTCTTTTTGTATTTATACATACATCTCAGTATCCAGCCCTTCCATTAGGAAAAATGCACTATGATCTCCTGTGATTTCATCTAGGCGGAGATTTACTTAGCTTACATTTCACAGCTGCCCTGATATCTGACCATGGCAAAACGTCAACTTCTCACTTTTTATGGCTGACGAACTGACTGGCCTTATTCCTGCACTCTGTTAACACACGCAAGAAAGGACTTGTTTCAGTGTTCTCATGAAAAATTATTGAGACTAGGGTTGATATTTTCAAAGTTCACTAGGGGATTTAGCCACTCAACTTAATGGGAGTTGGTGATTGAATCCTCCCATCTGCTTTGAAAATCTCTGCCCAGCTCTAGAAGGCCCTGATTCTGCAAAGACGCACATACTTAACTTTTGTGCCTTGGCCACATGCACCCATCGGGAACTATTCCCAGTGTGTGAAATTAAGGACATGCATAAATCTTTGCAAGGTCTCAGCCCAAGAGAGAAACTCTTTTGGGATAACTGTCAAAGCCAGGGGCTGATCCAAAGCCCACTGAAGTCAATGGAAGCCAGGGGTATTTAGGTGCCTCTCATTGATTTCAATGGGAGCGAGGAGCCTAAATACTTTTGAGGATTTGGTCCTTAGTGCCTCTGGCAAAAGATTTAGCACCTATAATTTCCTTTATATGTTTATTTTCTGGAAAGGAACAGAACCTGCCTTTACATCAACAACATGGGAGGTGAGCTGAGGCACTCTGAGACTGGATATTCCGCGGAGTAGTATTAGAATTATACACTAAAACAGATTAATTTCCACGGAAGTGTAACATTTTCCATTACATCATTTTCTTGTTATTAATTATTAATTACCTTTTATTAATAAAGAAAGGGTTATTAATTGCCTTTTATATAGCTATACCTGGTATTGTATAAAGGTATCTGGCACCTTACAGATGCAACCCCATTCTTGCCACTATGTGGATTCAGAGTCGTCCGTGGACCTTCCTCTCAGATTGCGCAGGGTTCGTTTCTCAATGGGATGTTCAGATTTACTCTGACAGTCTGGGGCCTGATCCCTGGCGCCTGAAGTCCATGGAAGTCTGTCCGCTGGGAATCGGTGCACAACCAAGACAATTACTCTGCAAGGAAAAATGCTCTTTGACTGAAAGGCATTTTTAAAGGTTATCAAGCGACAACAAAACACCCAGCGTTAAAACAACGGTGTGATCAAGACTATGTGCAGTGAAGCGATGAAAAGCTGCATGCAAATTGTCATTCTGGATTATTAAGTGGCAATGCAGCAGAAAGCAATTTTTGTGAGGGCAGGAAATTAGACACACCAAAGAGCAAAAGCTAATATTCATTGAAGGAGCTGCTGCAAAGGAGACAAGGAGGCATTTTTCCTTTTGGTGGAGGATAGCGGAGAAGCAGAATGGGAAGGTTACTCCTGAGGCAGATGATAGATACCTCCAGCCAAGATTTTTAATAATGAGTGCCTCAAATTAATCTCCTAAACCTACATTTAGACACATAAATAGCCCAATTTTCAAAAGTGCTAAGCACCCAAGCAGCATCAATGAGTTGTTGGGTGCGCCTCACTTTTGAAAATCAGACCACTCAAGTAGGCAATTATATAAGAATTGAGGAGTCTAAATTATAGGCACCTATATTGACATTGTTGGACCTCCTTTCTTACCTGGTAAAACAAAAATCTTTCAATAGACTTCTATTTGTTTGTTTTCCTAGGCCAAATTTTCAGAAGACTGCAAGTTCAGGGAGAGGTTTCAAGAAAACAGCTATAACACATATGCCTCGGCAGTTTACAGGACCGAAAGGACTGGGAGAGAATGGTATGTGGCTTTGAACAAGAGGGGCAAAGCCAAAAGAGGCTGCAGTCCCCGGGTGAAACCCCAGCACATCTCCACCCATTTCCTTCCAAGGTTCAAACAGTCGGAGCAGCCGGAACTGTCTTTCACCGTCACTGTTCCTGAAAAGAAAAAGTCACCTGCCTCCACCCCAGCAAAACCAAAGGTCTCTTTGTCTGTGCCTCGGAAGAACCCCAACACTGTTAAATACAGGCTGAAGTTTCGCTTTGGATAGCCGTTAAACTGATCGTGAGAGAGGAACACTTTTCTCAGGAGCTGCTGCGTGCGTGTGCGAGTCCTTGGCTTACAATGGCAGACAGGGCCTTGATCACACTTAGCTGCATTAGGAGGTCAAAAGGGAGATACCCATTTGTTTCAGTTTGACCCCAGCCAAATTGCTTTTTGATAGTCAAGAGTGTTAACTGAACTGGAATTCTTCATCTGGCCCCAGGGAGGAAAGCAGTGGTTCAGGTCAAATGAACATAAAGGCTTTTGTTTTTTGCCTTAAATAGCATTCTCACTTTCCTACTCTCCAAAGCATTGAGACTGGACTGTACATTTTGAAACAATGTCTGATGGATCAGTTTAATTTTTTGCTTTCCAAAGAATACACTTTTGGTGTCGATAAAATATTTTATGAACTTCTGTTTATTTTGGTTGTCAGAAGCATCAAAAGGGTACCTCTACATTGAACATATTTTCTTACTTTCACTATTTTAACTAATGACATTTTTTACAATCATGTTCATCTGAGCAATTTGTTCAAAGTTATAATTGATAAGGATTTTTTTTCCTGCATCTTCTCTTTTTGCTGCACTTTTTACTTCTGATTGTACCTCAAACTCGTATATCCAAGTCTGTCTTTTTTTTAAAGTTTGATTCCCCTCCTCTTAGAATTCAACTCTTTAAAAAAAAAAACAATGCATCTGATGAAGCGAGCTGTAGCTCACGAAAGCGTATGCTCAAATAAATTGGTTAGTCTCTAAGGTGCCACAAGTCCTCCTTTTTCTTTTTGCAGATACAGACTAACACGGCTGCTACCCTGAAATCCGTACATTGTAATTTGTGCCATGATGTTGAATCCTTTCTTTTTTTTTAAACTTGGGAAGGGTTTTCTTTTATTCAAGGGAGATAATGAGTTTCAAGTTTATGGAGGGGAACACTTCATTTACAAATGACCCTGATTCCAGTCCCCCACTCCTACTCTTTCTTGAACAGCTGGAAGGATAAGTCTTATTCTGTCCATCAAACTATCATTTCGAAGTCTGTGTTTAAAATACCTCTGTCATGACCCTGTGGCATTCCTGCTATTATAGGTCCACAGGGATGGAGCTGCTTTTCAGGGGAAACAAAGGGAGGCAAGAGCCATTCCATAGGTGTATCAGATAACAGCCATCAATGTCATGGCCTATTATCAAATGCTGTCATCATTATACTCAGCAAGTAAAACCCTCTCCTGAGACTCCTACTCCAAAGGTAAATGATTCCTGTGAGTGCATCTGCCTTTTGTAACAAAACGATGGGCTGTGAATTTAAAGACTGGTCATGCGATACAGGAATCAGTCCTATTCCGAGAACGTGTGAGTTGCTGTTGATAACCAACCAGTGGGCCAAATGGGGTGCATGGGTGTAACTAAAAGCAGAATTAGGTTCTTTGGGTTGGATCCTAAACTGGTGTAAATCAGCCTCGTTCCCATGGACTTCAATGGAGCCATGTTGATTTACTCCAACTGAGCATTTGGCTCATTATCACTCCAAATGGAAGATAGTTCTGCAAATGTTTTAACTCATATGATTTATACGATTTATTTATTTAATTGATTAATATACACTCCACACTGAAAAATGTTTTATTTGATCTTAAATATGGCAATGTGGCAATAAACAATATTATAGCTACTTGAACCTTTGAAAGTATTTTTTCCAGTTATGGTAGAGTGGTGTAGATTTTAAATGTCAAGAATTATTCATTTATATTTTTTCTAGTAACTAAATATGCATATAAAAGAATTTTTGACATACATACAGATCTAGCTGTGTTGTGTATGTACAAAAAATACTAGAGTTGAAACTGATCACCAATTAAGCCTTAACAGACTTTACAATGGCTTGCATTAGCCGAATCAAAACTCCCACATTAACTGTACTAACATATTTTAGTTGCATATCAGTAATAACAAAGCCATGTGCTACTTTCAAATATTTTACCAAAAAATCAATAATCATACAAAACATTATTTCCCTTAAAAGCTTGGCTTTTCATCCATCATTGTTTCGAGTTGAGTTCAAGACCTTTTCCCAAACATTTCATTTAACACAGTATAAATATTAGCATACTATGTAGTGTCTTTATTTTTAATAATGGGAATAAAGAGATTTTGCACACATGCATACACTCTACATACTACAAGAGATGGTGCTGCCATAATAAAGTATAACTGTGTTTAATTTTAAAACATAGTTGTGTAATTTCTCTTTTCTTCTGTCGACTATCCTACAACGTTTTTATTGAATATGAAGAATGGATGTTGCTAAATTAGCTACTACACATGTTTCTATTAAAGGGTTTGGCAGGAGAGAATATTGTTGACAGTAAAGAGTGAGGCAAAATGGGGATACATGCTCCTTTTGTACTACATGCTCCACATATTTTAGATGATGACAAAAGAACCCAATCACTTCTCTTGTACACTTATTTCAACTTGATTAGCAACAGCAAAGTTAAAGTGGAACAACAAAGATGTGTTATGCACGCCCGTGCTCATTAATTTCAAATGCTAAACTAAAATTAAAAAATTCAAATTGCACTTCTTATCTACAGTTTACCAGCCATACACAATTACATATAATTAATGTTCAGTGAAGCATAGGGCTACCTAAATTAACTAATTGAATGAACACATTTGCAGAAGACATATATAATACAACACCTTCCTAATCCTCATTACCCAGAGGGCCTACACATACAATACGTGGATGGTTATGTCTGATGTCAATAAGCAGAACTGTCTTTACTGATAGAATAATAAGAAACAAAATATAGTCAGAATTTTTTATTACATGTAATTGTCTTCTATCACAAAACACAAATTAAAAAAATTACATTGAGGGAAGAATCTTTGCAGATAGCCCAGCTTGTACAACAAAGAACACTCTTCTCTTTTATCTATGTATTGCCCCTCATAACAAATCCAAAATCCAGCTGTAACTTTCGTGTCACATTTTAGTAATAGCAGCTACCAGAATAAACAGATCTCTGTGTCCCTGGCAAAAGAACACATTTAGGATTCTTTCAGAGATAGCCCATATCCTGCCACAAGAAGGACCACCAATGTTACCAACTAGGTCTCCCATCCTGCAAGCACTCATGTGTATAACTTTACCCATGTGAGTAATCCAATGGAGATAATTATTATTTCTATGACTACAAAGCTAAGAACCTCAATCAGGGCTGGGGGCACCGTGGTACAAAGAAAGAACACAAGGACAGTTCCTCCTCCAGGGAGCTCACATTCTAAGATAAGCCATTCTGTTTCACTGTCAAAGTGACAACTCTTTTGCTTAATAAGCTTTTGAGTCCGAACAAACTGACCAACACTTGTGGAACGAAACAAAACATAGATTTTGAAACCAAATGAAAATTGACTGTTTTGCCTGTTTCTACTCACAGTGAAATTTCCATCCCTTCATCAATCCATTGGATAGTTGCCAATGGTTCGATTCCATTTAAGAGACCTTGATTTATAGGGGCCACCTATTTATAGCATAAAGGACAACTTTTATCCCTGTACTAGAGAACTCATGTTAGGCTATGATGCTGCAAACATTTAAGCACATGAGTTACATTACTCACATGTGCAGTCCACTGAAATAAAGGCTCTGATCCTGCAGCCCATAGGAACTTGGGCATGATTCGTCATCAAGGGAAATCTTTCCAGTGGTTGTAATAGGAGTTATACTGGGCCCTGAAGAAGTCCCAGATCAGTGGGACTACTCCCATGAGCAAGGGTTGTAAGATCGGACCCACTGTCATCACAACGTCTGCTTTGTTATTTTGCGAGCCGTATAAACTGTTCTGTTGGAATATCAGAAGGCGTCTGAAGAAATTTTACTTTTAATTTACTAGTCAATGTGGTTAATTCCACTAGACTAGAGGCCCCCCAGCACACAGAAGAAGGGATCTCTCTATATCCCACAGAGAGATAAGCAAACATGTAATCTCACAGTTATAGGTCCAGTTCAAATGTGTTTCTCATTAAATTCTTTGCTATTCCCTCTGTGGGAAGTGGAGAATTTATCAGATTTCAGTGCAGTCAGGTGAAATTCTGCTGAGGAAGCAATACCATGCTTCTTTTTTCTCCAGGGTACAATTAAACCAATGCTTCCCTAGCAGTGTTTTACCTTACTGTAGGGTTCTTTCTAGTGCATTTAAATTCCACAGAGTTCAGTGCCTTTTTACTGGATGACTGCTGTTGTTGCTCCCATGGCTCTGTTAATCCGGAGCACACGTGGGATTACAGGTGGGGTTTTATGAGATTATTAAAAAATGTTTCAACAAGGATACTAAACCCCGCAAAATGTATGATGAATACAACTGTTAGGGGCACAGGAAGGCTGTCCATATGGACCCAATGCCTTCACACCACCTCCATTTTCACTCCTGGAGCATTTGGCTCCATTGGAGGGCCGGGATATGAGGGCTTCTCCCTGCTAATAACTGTGCCTAGAATCCCTCTCCAGGGAGGTTCTTTAACTTGGAGGGGGCCCTCTCTGCACTAAAGTTAATCTAGCCTCAGGCAGAGAAAGTCTCTACAAGCTACCCAGGAGAGGGATTAGTAAAATCTGTGGGAGATGATGCATAGTCTATTAGTAGCCCTACTCCCTCCCAATCCCTTTCTTTGTATCAATCTCAAGGCAAGGGATGTCCGAATACAGAATACGGAGTTTGGGTGCAGGTCCAAAAAAAAAGTTTCCTTTGGTATCAGTAGGAACATTTTGTTTTGCTTTTGAGGCTGTAAAAAAATGATTTAAAAAAATAATAAAATAGTGGGAAATTCCCAAACCAAATGTTTTTCCAAAATGACAAACTGAAACGGTTTGCTTTGGAAATACTGAAACGAACTGTTTTGACATTTACAAATCCTCCCACCCCCAAGTAATTGACCTGAATTCATGTCCACTTGAATCCACATTCTTCAGGAAAAAAAAGGTTTCGCACGAAAATTTTGTCCAGCTCTACTCAGGACCTGAGGAAGGCTCTTAGGAGGAAGGGGGGAATTATGCCATGGGAGGCATCTGATACATCTTGCTCTGTGAGGGGGAAGCCGAGGCAGTACTTAAGATGTTCTGCTTGGCAGTATGCTGTATATTTTGTAAACGAATTCATGTTACCATTTTGAAAAAAGCAAGGACAGAGATTTCTCCCAGAAGCACATAAAATTAATCGAGCCAAGCAAGAATTCAGCAGAGTTCCCTGTCTGGCGCCTGGACTGAATTTGGTCCATATTCTTCACTACAGTAATTATTACTATGTGATGCTGAATAATCAGACGTTTGCATCAGCAGTGATGAAGTTAAGATTCAGGGCCAGATTTACTAAGTCCCTCACTGTTGCCCTGCTCAGTGGTCTAAGGTCCAAATTTCTAGGCAATATATTACCTAGCTGTATTTGCATACCAGAGCCAGGTAGATGTTAGGAAATGGGGACATGTAAAAGCTTAATATATGACATTTATGAAAGCCCCAAAGTGAGCGCTGGCTGCCAAACCGAACAGTGGACTTTAAGCTGTGGGAAGCAGGTCAGTCCCTCTGCAACAATGTCAACCCTCAAACAATTGTCTTACACAGTCTGTCACCATCTTCATCTGTTGCAGCTCTGGCCTGTACAAGGACTTTCTCACTGCCCAACACAGTGCTGGAGACAAAAAAGGAAACTCTTTCCCGGTGGATGCCCTACTAAGTCCAGTTGGCTGGGGTAATGAGATTGAACACACTCTGTGTCCCTGTTCCCTGACTGCTGAGCTTTATCCTCCAGACACAGAATGGTGAGTCAGTTCTGCCTCTGTGCTGCATTACCTGTGCACGGGATCTGATCGGGATAGGAGAAACTTAAAGGGGTGGGGGAAAAAGCCCTCTATTCCTAGCATACACAGACCCAATCCATTGCCTTAATTCTCAGGCACAAAGGACCCCTAGAGAGCAGCAGAAGCAACTCTGAGGGAATTCGCAAAAAGAAAAGGAGTACTTGTGGCACCTTAGAGACTAACCAATTTATTTGAGCATGAGCTTATGGCCCACCTGATGATCACTTTAGATAAGCTATTACCAGCAGGACAGTGGGGTGGGAGGAGGTATTGTTTCATATTCTCTGTGTATATATAAAGTCTGCTGCAGTTTCCACGGTATGCATCTGATGAAGTGAGCTGTAGCTCACGAAAGCTCATGCTCAAATAAATTGGTTAGTCTCTAAGGTGCCACAAGTACTCCTTTTCTTTTTGCGAATACAGACTAACACGGCTGTTACTCTGAAATCTGAGGGAATTCTGTCTCCACAACATTCTGAACACACGCCACCTACGTCAAGGGGCAACCTTGAGCTCTGCAAATGTATGCTGGACCTAGAGATCCTAGAGCGATGAAAAGGAAAGGAGAAACAGGAGAGCCCTGCCATTTGGGCTGGTGATAGCCCTGGGAGCATTTGGTGCTCAAGAGGTTCATGAGACTCCCCCTTCCCCCGACCCCAGAGACTGGGAAAATGAAGAGCAACAACCAACAAGTTGCTGAACTAAGCCAAACTGTCTCCATGCCCTCACCCTATCCCTGCTCCTTTGCCCCACAGATTCCATCCCTTCCCCCCATCTCCTCCTCATCCTCTCTCCTCTCCACCACCACATATTAGCCCCCATTGCCAACAGGCAGCTCCCCTGACTCAAGGTGGATTTGTAATTGTAGTAAAGTGGTCATGATAGGGTTAACTAGGTTCTCCAGAGTATTATGGGATTGAGCCATGCTCCACCCCTCCTTTACTTCTTGTTTTGTGGGTGGGAGTTTTTCCTCCCCACTCTGTTTTGATGCTGTTGAATAAAACAGCACGTTCCCAGCTTGCCATCGAGTGCACTGAGTGGCCCTTTGATAGCAGTAACCATCTGCACAACACTCACCTGCCCTCTGGGCTGCTGCTGCCGGGTGCCTGGCTGTATTTCCAGATTATTTTTAACCCCTTCTTTGGCTGTGGAAAGCAAGGAATTCCCTGGGGACTGGAGCCACCGATGACTTTGCCCACAGAATGCAGAAGGTGAATGCTACCATTTCCCAGAGCGCTGAGCTTTCCCCCCTGTCCCTTGCACCACTTTGTCAATTTATTTTCAAGGGAGGAGCAGTTTTTTCTCTACAGGACCTTAGACAAAATCTTTTGGCAGAGTCCAGCTGCCAG